GCGGAGGAAATGTCTAATTCTACAGTGAGTGACATTTGCCGAAAACCTGAATACTCGGCTCACCACGATTATTTCGGCGTATCGGAAAAAAGGCTCAATCGTTTTATATTTGCTTCTAATTTTTTTAATTCTTTCCTTATATTCAATATAAAAGAAGAACAAACAAAGTGTACGAATGAAATATATCTGCTTTTTGTATACATATATCTACTGTATTACTGGTCCGTGACAAGGGTAAAATATATGTAACAGCCACACACACACACACACACACACACACATATATATATATATATATATATATATATATATATATATATATATATGTAGGACAATTCTTCTTTGATGATTCTCAGCTCCGTCGTTATCGCCGTCTTTATGTTCCCATGCCTCTAAAACCGCCAATGCTGGATTCTCCCTTCGTTAAAGGGAACGTTTTCATCATTTTAAACAATTGGTGATTTTCACTAAGGAAGACCATGCGTGTAAATATCATTTGCTTGAGAAACAGGACGTTCATAATAATTTTTTGTGTCTACAGGCTGAAGAAGACTAGTCAGAGCGGCATACCAGAGTAAAGGCTGCTTTATTAAGATACGTTAAATTTTGAGTCGATTAAAAGAATTTGTGGATTTATATATTTTTATGTATGTCTCCATATAAGGATTGCAAACGTCCTTTCTGGCTATATACCTATCTAGCAAGGTAGCTATCTCAATTCTTTCATATCATATCTATCTATCTATCTATCTATCTATCTATCTATCTATCTATCTATATATATATATATATATATATATATATATATATATATCTTCTTCTCTCTTTCTCTCTCTCTCTCTCTCTATATATATATATATATATATTTGAAGATATTTTGTGGGTACAAAATTTAATGATCGATTTAAAATAAAAGAATAAAATTTAAGGTTCTGGAGGCATTTTAAATCGGGTAAATAATAAAAAAACTTTGTGCAAACAACGTGAGTGTTTGCTGGGGACTGCTGTCATCTGCCTCTAGTTTCTTCCGACATATATGTACTTACATGTATATATATATATGCATATGATGTTTGCTTAATATTTTTTTTTTTTTTTTTTTTTTTACTGTACATTTCTGTTTTAATCTTCAAATCTCCCGTGGAAGTTTGACGAGCGGGAGCGAAACCAAACACCCCCTTGTTGTTGAGTTTTTTTTATTATTTAATACTTTTTAATATGTCTAGTAGTATTAAATTTTATACTTTTATTTCGATCATATATATATATATATAGTTAAGTCTAAATTACTATCACACATTAAAATCTATTCTTTACATAAATTGCTAAAACCCAATTACAGCCTCTTTCTATTTACTTCCCTCTCCCTCTTCTTTCTTTTTACTTTTTCTTTTCTCCCTACTCCCCTCCCATTTCAATATATCACTTCCGTTAATTTAACCGTCTAAATAGATCATGGTCCGGTCACTCCTCCCCCTCAATACAAAGTATACTTGAGAGAGATATGAAACTAATCCCTCCTTATACTCTACGATGTCTCTTTAACTACTCCTTTTACACTATCTGTTAAATTACAAAAAATTACACTACCCATCAATTTCATTTTTCGTTTCATTTCATTTTTGGAAGTGCTATCTGATGATCCGACGTCCTTTAAAAAGGCTTTGGTGAAATAAATTATTATAATGGTACCTTAAAGTGGTCTGTTTTTTTCTTATATATATATATATATATATATATATATATATATATATATATATATATATCATAGTTAATTCATCGTGTCTAGAAGATTAGTCAAGAGAATGTAGAAAGCACTGGATGGCCGTTTCGTCCTATTTTGGGGACTCATCAACAGTGTGCATCCACTACCGAGAAACGGACCCTGACTATTACGATATAAGGCAAGGGTCATACCCACTGGGCCAACGAGCCTCAGTGACGGAGAGGTAACAAACCAGACTCGATATAGCGCCAGCTCTTCAGAAACTCCGTCGTGTGACTCATCCGAGTCTACTTATTATATCAACGGACTGTGTTCCCACGAGTTACTTCTTCTATCCCCAAGTCCCTGTGTGTCTCTTTTCTCTATATATATATATATATATATATATATATATATATATATATATATATATATATGTATGTATGTATACATGTATAGATTTATACACACATATATATATATATATATATATATATATATATATATATATATATAAGTGGGGCAGTTCTTATTTGATGCTTCTCAGCTCCGGCGTTATCGCCGTCTTAATGATCTCCATGCCTCCAAAACCGCCAATGCAGGATTCTCCCGTCATTTATCGACGTAGGATTGTCAAACATCTCAGTTTCTAGGGACCGACATCCAGACACCTGCACATATTGTAATGTCTCATTCCTTAATAAGCATGTAAAGATTAAAGCTTACATATTAAAAATACTACAGATTTATTCAGTACTGACTGAATAGAACTAATTAAACATTGGTATTTGCCAATAAACATTCATTGTAAACACGTAAGTAGACAAGCGATCAGTTTAATAGGCCAGAGGGAAAATTTTAAGGAAGAACTAAAAGATGTTAAACAGCAGAAGAATATTTTCAGAGCTGGAACTCTCTGAAGCGTATTTACAAATTCAGACTGAGAAATGAATGTTCAGAATTAACGACCATAAATACGCAGAGGATATTATATAAGTTTACCCGATTTTCTTTTTGGTATAATGGTGGAACCAGCTATTTTTCAACAAACTTTAGTCACTATATTTTGGGATCGAGATTTTGCAGTGGCGTATCGGAAAGACATTTTAATTAAAAGTGTATCTAAAGAACACGTTGGGCACGGACAACCAATTTTGAAAAGCTAAGAGAACGGATTCAAGCTCAGTGAAGAAATATGCAAATTATCATTGCCGAAAATTAAACAACTTGGACAAATGATTGATAAAAATGGTCGTCAACCAGATCCGTCAAGGGTAAATACAATTAAAAATATGTCTACACCAAAGACGTGACTACATTACAAGCTTTTCTAGAACTGTCTAATTACTATAAAATACATGAGGATAATGTGCATAATTTTCGTGTTCCACTGAACAACCTACTTAAAAAAATGGTGTAAAGTACGACTGAAAAGGTAACTGTAAAAAGGTGTGTGACAAAATGAGTAAAAGACTTATGCCAGATTTCTCATTAGTACAGAACGATCCAAAAGCAGAAATTGTAGTGGCGTCAGATGCTAGTGAGTACTTACTGGAGCGGTGATTTTACGCAAATACGATGGCGGTAAAATGAAAGCTTTCGCTTATGCGCCACGCTCGCGTCTACCAACAGAAAAAAATTACCACCAAACAGAAAAAGAGGCTATAGCAAATTCATAAATTTATTGATGGAATAAATTTTAGGTTGCAAACAGACCAGTGTCTTCTCTTAACAATATAAGGTTGAAAGAAAGGAATACCTACGCATACAGCTAATAGGCTACAAGTCTGCGGTACCATCTACTTAAACTTTGATTTTATGATGGCGTTCCAACTGACTAAAAAAATTAGGATATGCCGATAGATTATCAAGATTAAAACATAAAAATGCGGAGCCATTTGTAGACACGTTCATTGAAACCTTAAAAAGGGAAATGGAAAAAAAAATTATGAAACGTGGCACGTGAGTTCCAAGTCATCCTGGAAGGAATAAAAGAAAACGTAGAAATGACGTCTTTATTCCGAAAATAAAAAAATGCAATTGAAAGAAAGAAACAAAGAATGAAATCCGGACTTAAACGCTTACTCATTATGCAACAGTAATGCTCGGGCAAAGGTTGTAATACTTAATGTCTTAAAAAAGCGAATATTGAAGGATTTTAATATTGGACATCCTGGTATTTCACGAACGAAATCTGTACTGAGAAATTTCGTATGGGCCAAGGTATTGAAAAAAAAAATAGTAAAAGCTTTCAGAGATTGTGCTCTGGCAGCAAAACTACCTATTACAAAAATAGAACCTTAACCAAAGACAGACACCCTGTGGCCAAGACTGCATATAGATTGTGCTAACCTTATAAATGGATCACATTATCTTATGGTAGATGATAGTTTCGCCAAATGGCCGGAAATTTATAAGTGCAAAAATCCAACATCTTCAGTAACGGTGAATTTCTTGGATGAACTGTTTTCGAGATATGGCAGACCAGATACCATAGTCTCTGATAACGAAAAGCAATTCACGGGTAAAAAATTCGAAAGCTTTTGTCAGATGTTCTCCATTAAGTATATTACAACCTCGCCTTATGAACCAAGGTCGAACGAACAAGTGGAACGGTTTGTGGGAACGTTTAAAAGAGTGTTGAAGATAGCATGTCTTCATTAATTAAAAGAGGTTGCACTTCAAAATTTTCTGACAGTTTACCGTGTAACACCTAAGACCAATACGTCATCAGACATGTTGCCTGCGGAATTAGTGTTTGGTAGAAAATCAAAATCGGCGTTTGACATGTTATTACCCAGTTGAAAAACACGACCGGATAACAAAAACGACACCAAATGTTTCAAGGTCGCCGATAATGTGTTCTTTAGAGCATATTCTTTAGGCAAAAAAACGTTGGAAGACGGCACAATAGCAGCAAGAATCGAGAATTTGATTTACATGGTAAAAAGGAAAAGATTTGAACATATAAAGGCACCATAATCATCTGAAAGAAAAGGTTGGTCGATGAAAGACCTGAAACATTGGAAGAAGCGATAAAAATGCTATATTATGTTCTCAATCGGTCAATAGCACAACAAATGATATCGTCTCCCACAGATGTGGTGATGCCAATCACTTTTCCAGATATTGCTTGAATCGACGTGCTAGGCGAAGTGGCAGCCGGCGAGGAGACAATGCGGTGACAAAGTGAGCCATATATCACGGAAATATCCGGGGAAACTGGTGAGATGAACAGCGCCGGTCTCATTCCCCACCCCACCCAGATATATAAATGCGGTCCTACCTGTAGTGAATGTATCGGTCGACGAGGAAATGGTGTTCAGCTCTTATTGACTCTCACTGCTCTCGGTTGATCGTTATTTCTGAGAGATGCCGGTTGTGGAGCGGAAAGCATGTAGATGTGAAGACTATCGATGGCAGAATGCAGGCAGGCTGTGGCGTTGGGACCGTTAATATCGGCATAGAGAGTGACAAGACAACCAAGGTTGAAGTTCTTGTGGTACGTGACAAACCTCAGGCTTTGATACTGGAATAGATGCGATAATTGCCTTAGGTGGTACCCATATCACACAGACTGGGAAGCCATACGATTCTGCAGCAAAGCAACATCAACATGTGCAGTGATCCTTATTGACTATCCTGGCTTTTCCGTGGAATTCTGCCACCAGCAAAAGGTCTGCACTGCAAAATGAAAGTTGACAGTAGGTGTGGTGTCGGCTCAGTTACGCAATAGGTTGTCGGAGTACCCCATTTTAAAGAACGTTAGGGATGCCTATGATCAAGAACTCGAGATATAGATCACCAGTAGTTGGCTAATTGTTGTGAGACCGTAACATACCTACAACATGGACTCTTCCAGGACTATGTAAAGTATGCGATATAATACTCTAAAAGATCTCGACACGCCCCAAGTCTCTCCTGAAGTGCGACGCTCAGGAAGGAAAAGGAAATTTACTCAACCGCTCGACGTAAATCCCAAGAAAAAAAAGTATTAACAGTTTTATGTTTTTCTCTCTCCTTTTCAAAAAAAAAAAAAAAAGAAAAAAAAAAGAAAACTCTTGGAAGCGGGGTGTTGTATGACCGTAACATACCTACAACATGGACTCTTCCAGGACTATATAAAGTATGCGACATAACACTCTACAGAGAGAAGAAGAAGAGGAGGAGAGAGTATATTCTAATACCGTAGTATCAGCCGCGTACGACTACCAATATTGGACGCTAGCACATAGTAAGCTCAGCTTACACTGACACTATCGTTGTAACCTTTTTGTTTAATATATCTTTCTGACCTCTAATCCGTGTTCCGTGTTTTCCTTCCGTGGTCCCAACTTTGGGCCCACATCACTAATACAATGCTCCGAAAAGAAACAGGAGCTATCCAAACACTTAGTGCCATTAATGGTCATCGTGCAGCACAACAAATGAAAGGTGCACCCTGTGATGGAGTACCGCGAGCTCAACGAATACGCTGATGCCTTCACTGCAAATGCGGATATTTGTTTCGTCCAAACTGCGTGAGTGGCGCCAACAAGTGGCAAATGTGGCCATACTTGACTTGCGAAAAGCGTATCTTCAAGTACATGTGTCACTGTGGTCATATCAGAATGTAATGATCAAGGGGAAGCGGTTTTGCCTAACGCAGTGGAGGTTCAACCTCAACGTGGCACCACTAGATGTTATTAAACACTGTGCGGCCACAGCAAGAGTCAGTTGGGAGAGCGTCGTCGGCGTACATAAACGATGTGTATGTCAATGGGAGCATTATGTCTGCAGAACATGTTAGGACAAAAATGGGCCAGTATGGGGTGATGAGCAGAGACCCAGAACGTTTGAAGGATGGGGGTCGCATGCTCGGACTGGAAGAGTAACACACTGCGGGGAAGCGCGATCCCAAATGTCCCTATGGCACGGCGGAATGTTTTTTTCACTATGCTGCAAGCTGTTAGATCTCCCCGTGTGTAGATGGCTGCGTGTGGCGACCGGGTTCATCAAGCGACAGTCAAGGGATGGAATGAGCAAGTTGACGGCATTGGTTTTCAAACAGATCTGAAATCAACATAAGGGTCGATGCAAGCTCTTATACCGACAGGAGTAGTGTTGGAAAATAGATGGAGCAAAATTGGAAGATTCATGCTGGTTTCGCTCCGCTCGACAATCAACGCCCAATATATCAACTTAGCTGAACAAGATGCTCCAATGAAAGGCCTCAATTTGGCCCTTCAGTGGCAGGCAAGAGAGTAACATAAAAATATTCCTTGTCTGAGACCCTCACAGGAAAAGCGAGAGTACGTACAAAAGCAGCGAGCGAGATGTTGATGCGAAGAAGGTTGGCCACAATGAAGGAACTGGTCTAATAATAAATCTGTCGACGTGATGCTGGTTGCGTCAAACCAGAACTTGGCAGACAGGATGAACCGTATACCTCAAAATTTGATCGATATGGCCCAAAAGAGGGTAGAACCTGTGCAGCAGGTGTGTGCTGCTTCTCTCGACACCACGAGTCCGAGTTAGATAATGGAAATACATCAATGCAGTGGGCATCCAGTAGTATGGCGTATCACATATTTTGGGAGGAGAGTTTGTCCTTCCATGTCAAACGCCATGGTAAAATCGGCCATTGGGACCTGTGGGGAGTGCACAACAATAGATCCTGTGCCAGTTCATTGGAAAAAGGGAAGTTTGGGAGTAAACAGTATTTGGCACCGACTCGGCATGGATATCACTCACTACCCCCGGCAGCCATTACATGATACTAATCGATTGTATCTCGTTATGTTTTTCTGTGTGGCGGCTTTTACACCGTCAAGACTTATTGAGTATAATACGTCAGCTGGTGTCTGTGTTCAGTGAGAGGGGACCACCAAGGTAGATATTCACAGACAATGATACCGAGCTCTCGAGGATGGAGTTCCGGTCCTTTGCCCATGGATAGGACGTGCATTTGCGATTCGGATGCGCGAATATTCAAGAGGAAATAGAATAACGGAGCGGTGTTACAGAAAGTATCAAGAGGATTGCGACCAAGATGAAGTGTAGTGCTGAAGATACCGCCTATTCGTACAATATAGCCCCCAACGATGACCCCTCACCACTGGCTGCACCTGCACATTATGTTTAAAGATACGATGTTCGGCTCAAAAAGGTTGATTCTGTGGACGGAAAGCCCCTCCATATCAGTGACTTTCGTTATTCTCTGATTTCACCAATTAGAGGAGATATGTCCGACAGTGAGATATGCAAGATCCGGGTTTTGTAAGATGCCTCACGGCAACAAAAGCTAGTGGAAAACAGCAGTTGGCTAGACACGGAGTCTTGTGAAGTCGGTCTTGTGGGTATTGTGTTCCTCAAATTGCCGTGTTTTCTGAGGCAGTGATACTTTTTTTTACCTCCCGCCTATTTCCCCCCTGTCCCTATTATCCACGTAAATTGTTGCAAGAACAATCTCGACAGACTCTTTGCTTCCACTACAACATATTGATTGTCATTTTGCTATAAATATGAAGTGTTGGCCATTTTACTACAAAAACCTATGGCTGTTAATTTTGCTATAAATATACTGCTGATTTTTATTTGGAGATCACGATTTGCTTAAAGCTAGGACCCTAACAGATGTTGCCACTCCGGACGAAGTTGGGCCTAGGAAGAATAACAATTAAAAGGTTCCCCCCCTTCTAAACCTCTAATCTCCAGATTAGAGGCCTCGCTGCAAGATATAGTCTATCGTGTTACCCAGGACAGGTGCATCAAGTTTTTATAAGAATACTTTACGTGCAATAAGACCCAAATATAAAAGCAACATATCCATTTATTTGTATCACACATCATCTGCTACGTATTTCTTTTTACTTTACTATTTAAAAGTTACAAAGGCCTCATGTCGGGGCGGTTGAAATATTTTCGACTTAAATAGTTTCAGTTTCAGAGTCTGGTTCATAATCCGGCCCATATCTCTATCAGATTTGTTTTATGTGTATATATTTTGATTAGTACATACATATATATATATATATATATATATATATATATATATATATATATATATATATATATATATTAATTTACATAGACATAGAAAAATAAGATATACTTTTGGAATATTTTTAAAAATTGAAGTAAGGCAAAAATGTGATTTATATCAAACCGATGTTTTGCATTATACGAGAAAGTGATAGGGATTCAAGAAAGGTGTGAAATATGCTCTGTAAAGATTTATAATATTTCACAGCCGGATGACCAATCAAGGAAGTTTTTTTTTTTTTTTAGAATAATTGAAGTTATATAACACGGGAGACAATCAACGTCCCCGGAATATACGAACCAATCCTTCTTTGGTGTATAGATTCTACATAAGTTTAACGGGATAAAAAGCATAACGTAACACTCAAGGGATTTGGGGTCAAGCAGAATAGAACTATGAAGCGTAAAACTAGTCGGTCTTCATCCAATAATGTGATACTGTGAAATTGGAAATGCTTTCGATAATAAGAGATCTTCTAGTGAACGGGAAGATTGACTCGAAAAAGTACTGTTCTCAATTAGATCAACGGAAAGCGGCCACAGAAGACAATTGACACAAATTTGTGTAAAGAAACAGTAATATATAAGATTTTATAATTGAGGCAAGGCTATTTGTTTTTCTTTAATACCAATGTTCACCAAATCCAACGCTTATGTTAGATGGTCACTGAATGTAAGATAAAGTAAGTCGAGGGAGACGGCAGTGAAGATTAGGAGGATAAGGAGGATAGAGAGCAACTGACTCCTGACTTGAAAAGGTTAAGATTGTTCAGGTAAACATCCAGGCGGGAGCAAGGTCCATATAGTAGCAGTTCTCAGGAAAGAGCTGTCTGATAGAAGCTTCCTACTAATAAATGGAATACTGTAGAACTGTTGGTGATTCGACAGTGACTAGTATTAACTGCAAATGTCGGAACTGATGAAACTAAAGAGTCGCGTCTCATCTGAAAGAATTCTATAGAAATAATGACAGGGTAGCGATAGGCTTGCAACAATTTCGTCTGTGGAAAAAGAGATCGAAGAGTGGAAAATTAAAAATAAAAAATGCGTAAACGCTTTGTTAAGTATATCAAATTTGAAAAGTGATGTTTTGACAGCCCCAGCCCAGACATGGCAATAATACCACATGTTTGGTTTAATCGATAGAAGGAGACAACCATTTTCCTAATATCTTTAGTAATGTATCATATGTATAAGTTTCACTTGAGGTCTGGAGTAAGTAGGCGTTCGATTTATGGCACCTGGTTGACAGTGCAACAGGACGTATCTTAGAAATGGTTCAGAATTATTAATCAGAGAGCCGAGGTCGTTTTTTTTTTTACATAAGTGTTTAATGAAAAAATCTAAGTCTATGGAAGATAGTAGGCAGCAAGTGTTACAGGCCATTCCTCGGAAAGATAAAAAAAAAAAAATCCCGGAAGATGGGATTATGAAGTCGACTGAAAGATGGCAAAAGATTATGAAAACAAAAAAAAAATATAAATAAAAATTATAAAAATTGTCGTCCAATGAAGAAAATGTCAAAAATAAAACAAACATCGTTTCGGTAATAGAACGAATGAACTCCTGACATTAATGTCGAAAATAAAAAAAAATGATTTTACATTTATTTTCTGTCAGCGAATTAGTTTGACTTGTATTATATGTCTTTTCCTACCTTTACACACACACATATATATATAAATATATATATATATATATATATATATATATATATATATATATATATATATATATATATATGCACACATAAACACACACATATATATATGCATATATACATGCACACACTCACACACATATATATTCATATATATATATATGCATACACGCACACGCAGACATATACACACGGTCACACAGACACACACATACGTGCATACATGCATACATACACACATATATATATATATATATATATATATATATATATATATATATATATACGCATGTGTATTTGTGTGCAAAGAGAAAGAGAGAGGAAATAAAACTTAATACATGGTGATTGTCAGTTTCACGTCTCAAGTGGCTTGTAGATTTTGATTTCAATATTTATGCTGTCAATATCTCTAAACGCTCAGATGTTCAGCAATCTTGTTCCATAAACATAGGTAATTTTAAAGATCTAACTATCCCAGTTCTTATTCATAATCTATCTATCTTTGTCTGTTCATATCTATCTATCTATCTATCTATCTATCTATCTATCTATCTATCTGTCTGTCTGTCTTAGTCATAATCTATCCATCTATCTATCCCAGTCTTATTTATAATCTATCTATCTATCTATCTATCTATCTATCTATCTATCTATCTATCTATCTATCTGTCTTTTCGTATCAATGTATCTATTAATCTAATTATCTCTCGTTCTCTCTCTTTCCCTCTCTCTCTCTATCTCTCTCTCTATATATATACATACATACATGATTTTACATTTAAAGACTTTTATATATATATATATATATATATATATATATATATATATATATATATATGCATGTGTGTGTAGAGATGAAAAAGATTAAAATAATTAGTGTTCTTTTTATATAAGAAAAATTATAACTTAACTTTAATTTTGTCGACGTGATTCTGTATATAAATACAGTTTACTAAATAAACTTTATGCACTTACCTTTATACAGATCCTTAAAGTATAGCATTAAAGCTTTTCCTCTTTCAATTTATCATTTATATATATATATATATATATATATATATATATATATATATATATATATATATATATATATATATGATTGTCACTTCTTCACAGAAGATGACCATTTCTTCACTTGGTCTTTTTTTGTGTTTTTCATTTAAAATTACCGCATTTTTACCTGAGATAATGCTCTGCTATGGGTGCGTAGGTGATTCTTAAAGTCAGCTTCAATTTTACAGCCTCTCTTACACACAAAGCAAACATAAAATCTGTGTATATTATCTATATTAGAAAGTTGTCCGTCCCTGTGTACATTCATATGGTGTTTGATTCCCGCAACAGACTTATAAATCTTAACACAAATCTCGCACAAGTGACCTGCAGATTTTTCTGGTATCGTTATATTCACAGTGACGTATCTGTTGTAATCTCGCGTGACTGGCTAAACCAGCCGCCGAGAGGGTGACTTTTCTCCGAATAATGCAATTGTGTTGGTGTTGTGATAGTTCTGGGAGGGATTCTATTTCTCCTTTCACTTTCAATTTTTGTTAGAATGCTCAATTCTCTTCTAATGAAAATTGTTACAGCGTTCCCAAAAATCATCTTTTTCCGGCCAGATATATTTCCACCAACAGTTTCCCAGTCTTCAAAATTAACACCAAGAGTATTTAGGTTACATTTAACTACATCATTGAAACGTTTTCAGTGCTTACGAGCGGGTCGATTACCTTGTACCAGCACAGGATAAGAAGCCTTTTGGGCAAGCTGCCATCCTCATTACTTGTCAGATGACCTGTCCCGCCCATTTGATTACGGAGAAGTAGTTTCTGTATGTTGGCTATGTTTGTGCGCTGAAGGACTTTTGTGTCTGGTGTAGAAGACTGCCAATATATATATATATATATATATATATATATATATATATATATATATATATATATAAACCTAGTGAGCCAGACAAACATAACCAGGTATCACCTAAGCGGATCGTTAAATATATATATATATATATATATATATATATATATATATATATATATATATATATATAAACCTAGTGAGCCAGACAAACATAACCAGGTCTCACCTAAGCGGATCGTTAAATAAATAATATATATATATATATATATATATATATATATATATATATATATATATATATATATTATTTATTTAAAAATATGATTCCAACACGCTACATAAGAGTTCTCATGTTTCAAAAAACAAGAGCCAAATAAATAATTATATTGAAGTTTTCGGCTCTTGTTTTGAAACATGAGACCTCTTATGTAGCTGACGTCCTCGTATTCTCGAACCTAATTTGTTCTTAACTTTTATCAATACCTTCTCGATGTCAATAATTCTTGACGCGGTATTTATTTTGATTACACAACTATTTATTCAGGTAGCAATACTAAGTCTGATAGATTCGATATGGCCAAATTAGTAGAAGATCTCGAAGATTACTGTGATGTCTCCCTTTAAAGAGTCTATATTAGACTCTTCCGCCTACTATAAGTTTAATAGGAGAGAAGGTACAGAGAACAGTGAACAGTGAATAGATTGAGCGATAGTTCATTAGATACGTTCTCATTAGTGGTGTAATACTCTTCTGGTGTACTTACTGTTTAATATACGATATAGCTGCAAACCTGGTTTTTGTTATTACCTATCCATTTACTTTGTCACAAAAAAGATAGCCATCCATCTGTTGTTAACCGGGGCAACATGACTGATGCTAACCTCCAGAAGAGTAATCCTATTGCACATTTCCACTGCTATGATATGGAACGACTCTATTGAATCATTTGCTAGTTCAACTGCTAGGAATGTTGGTTCACGGTGTCATGCGAGACTGTTTTTCCCACCATAATCTATATTGCACGTTTATATATCTACCATTCTTCCATTCACTGAATATTTATGGCATATCTGATCTAGTGCTTCTGCTATGTATCTCGAGGTATTTTTGACACAATTCAAAGAAGAATCTGCAATATCCTCGAGTCTGAATTCTCATCTAGGTTTCAGTTGCTTTTTCACTGCTTTAAGCTAGCTTAACTGGTCTTTTTTTTTCTCTCTCTCTCTCTATATATATATATATATATATATATATATATATATATATATATATATATATATATATATATATATATATATATATATATATATATATCATAGCAATTGTACTGATGAGGTTTGGTACCTAGACTTCCCGAATTTAAGTGCCGTACTAGTTCTAGACGCTAACTCTAAAATAGCTAGCTACACAAATTCTATTCTTATAACTTTTTCTTTCGTACATTACAAGTGTTGAAATATCTTCCGACTTCTTGCTTTCTTGTTAACTATCTTGAAAAAATTAAATCCAATGTTCGTTGACATTTTCATTCTCCTTTATTGTAATTTCTCAATAATCTGCTTCCGTTTGTTTTATTCTCACTAATCCCTTGCATGTTAGTGTCTATATCTTTTTGCCCGGGGCGAAATTATTGAAAACAAAAAACAAAAAACAAAAAACATATTCGCTCCAGACATACGTTTATCTTTTTGATGTTTACATAAACTTCGTTGTTTTGTTTCTTTACGCTACGTATCCAGACTTTATAATATTCTTGTTTCTGTTTCCATTTTTGTAATCGCCAAACAAGCCTCTCCAAATATTTTCACAGTTTTCCGGCTTATTACCCCTACCATTTTTCTAGATCTCATATTCAGACATTTTTAAAGCGACATATCTGTAGCTTTTATCTTCCTAATGTTTTCGGTTTATTTTTGTATCCTTCTGATAAATGTTTTGAACTATTTCTCTATTTTACAGAGTTCTATTCTACTCATTATAATACTTTTTTCAACTTTTAGATTATATCATTCTCACAATTCGTGGCTATCTCTGTATATCTTAAATTAAATATTACATAGCACTCTCCATACTATTATATATACACTACAGTGCAACAGTTAGGCACCTCGAGGCGGTGTAATGGTTAGCAAGCTTGTTTCGCTAGAACAATTACGACTGATTAGTGAGTTCGATCCTCACTAGGTGCTCCGTACTTTCGGCCTTGTTCCACATCTGAGCTACGCTTGGAAAATCACTACAGTTCAACAGTTGGACACAACCTCCAGAATTAGCATGTGATGAACTTGACAGAAGTGTGAAAAAATAAATAAATAATGAAAAAAAAGCTCTTAGATTCATTGAAAAAAAGAATGGAATCAATTATCAAACTTATACTTAGAGAAACTTTTGCAATGATTGCCAAAAAATTGGCTATAGAAATCAAGGCTGAAGGAGGATATTTTGACAAGAGTAAAATTTAATGATGATTTTTTTTTCTTTGTCGTAATAAAATTTCTAATAAAAAAATAATGTCTTACTTTTTTAACCATTTTTTATAATTTTTTCTCTTATTTAAAGTACAAAACAGCTACAGAAAATTATCAGTGGTTTTCCTTTTGAACTGTAGTGTATATTTAGCATCTTTTATGATAATTCCCCCCAAATAATGTAAAATTACTTATCGCAAATATTAATTCACCGCAATTTAAACTTTTGATCGAATTTTATTTATTTTTTTTATTAAATTTTTGGCGCTCTTCTGAAATAATAAATTTTAAATCAAAATTTGTTTAACTTGCCATGAAGTTGCCAGATAGAACAACCTCCAAATTATTAGACACAATCCGAAGCTGTATTTCTCCTGGGACTAAGATTATGTCGGATTGGTGAAAAGGATAGACGTCTTTAAAGGATGATCCCAGTTATATCCTTATGAATGTAAATCATACAGTATGGATTTCCTTGACCCAGAGACATCAGCACACACTCAAACAACCGAAAATAACTGACGGAACACCAAAATGAAGAATAAATCTGTTGTGGTAGGATCCACCTAATTTGCATTATGGAGTACCGACCATATAAATATGGTCGCTACCGGGAAGAGAGGGAGAAATCAAGAGATTCACTTTCAGTCGAACTCTCTGCATTTTGCAGTGAGGGACCCGGACGAGGCTTTGCCGAGAGGCAGGGTTTCGTCCGGGGTGGTAGACAGGCCTTGAACCCGTCTAGGCGGGTTCAGAAAGGCCATATTTTTGGGTGGATAGATAAATACTGGAATCAAGTGATTCAACTAGAGACTCTGCCCGACTGCGACTCAGTCAACACATTCTCCAGGAACGGTCTTACCAGGAATATACAAAAGACTATATGTAAATATTGTGTACACTTTCTTGTTTCAATACATTTTGTTCTAAGTACATTTTGTGTTTCATTATTATTCCATGCATTAGTCAAGTTTCAACAAAATCCATGTTCGGGACTCATCGCAGTATGATAGACTCTTATATGTGAAAGTTACTTTGGAGACAAAAGGCAAAAAAATAACAAGGTATGCATTTTTGGATGAATTAATCATTTGGTCTGCTATTTATCTGTCCGATATTTATTTGCAATGTGATAAATAACTTCTAATCAGCATAATAAATGTTTACTACCATATCACGTTGGAACACCGGTTCACGAACGATCAGCAAAATTAATCAACATCTAGCCTGCTCAGTACCTGAGATTGGTGATCGCTTAAGGATACCAAGTGCTCTAAGCTTGAGGGTTTACGGGGATGTAATGGATAACAGCTCGGAATTAGAAATCGGAGAGCCGGGTTCCAATTCTGGAT